GAAGGTTACAAAGGCTAATAATTTGCATAAAATGGGAAATATAGATGATCTAAAAATATCATCTAACATCCTATATATAAGAGACTAGATAAGAATCCTAGTACAACTCTAAAACCTAAGAATATGAATCCCAAACAAAAAACGCAACCTTGGGGAACAAGGAATTTGACAACTAGCATATTTGTTTTTGGAGCATATTCAACAAACTCCATCTTGGCACGAAAACAATCTTCAACAATCTAACCTTCAATCATCAAGAAAAATGAAAACCATAGTGTTCAAAAGTCCCTAAGAACTTAATTTGAAATACCAACCAAATTCGAACAAAGTTCAGATTTGGCGGTTCCAGTTGGCTTTTTGAAAACCGAATTGTCGAATGTCACCCATTTGGGTTTGCAAAGTTGAACCAGTGGAGGAGTTGTAGAAAACATAGGTTTAGAAAAACCTATAACAATAGTACCGCGAACATAGTAAATACCATTAATCTTCCTCACATCGGCTTTAATCACAACTCGAGAACCTTTTGTGATCTTCAAAATACTGCCTCCACTTGAAAAACTATAACCCTTGTCGTCGAAGACACTCAAGGAGATGAGATTTCTCTTCGTCATAGGAATATATTGAACATCGGTTAAAATTCGAATCATGCCATCGAAAATCTTGAAACGGATAGTGCCAACACCTTCAATTTTACATTGGGAATCATCAAAACCTCAAACTGACTCGACATTGTGAATTGGTTCAAAAGTAGTAAACCAATCTTTATGTGAACACATATGATATGTGCAAGTTGAATCAAGAACCCAATTATCATCGACACCTCCAGAAACAAGAGTAAGAACTTCTCCGTCATAATTATTGTCCTGAGCATAGTTTGTAGAATCATCGTTAGCCTTTGATTTATTTGAAGCATTCCTCTTTTCTTTATTTTGCATCTTATAAAACTCAAAGATCTCGTGACCATTTTTGTGACAATACCTGTAGTTTTTGTCTTTGCCTTTGCCTCGAGATTGGGAAAGAATATTTTTACCTCTAGAATCCCTTTCATGTGAACGGTCTAGGCAAGAATCACATAACCAAGTACGATCGATTAAATTTTGATGGTGTATGGATTGTAACAGAAAAAGAAACGACATCAATAAGAGTTGACAAGAAAGAATCATCAAAGTGACGATAAAAAGAAAACACGATCACAAAACCCAACAAGATAACTATCCAAAAAATCCAAATGCAGATCATGATTGCCACAACAAGGATGAAGAATGATCTGCAGAAAGATTGGATGAAGAACTCGAACTGTGTAACATAGGTATATATTGATCTTCAAATGCATTGATACCACTTGTTATAAAATAAACGAGCTGTGATACCACCTGTTACAATCAAAACATAAACATGAAAGAAATTGATAATCGAATTTATAGTCAACCGCTTGTTATAATCAAAACATAAACATGAAAGAAATTGAACACATAATTTACAGTGGTAAACCAACCCAAAAACGGAAAAACCCACTTGAAGAACACTATAAATTGATCTCTTTAATTGAAGGTTACAAAGACTAATAATTTGTATAAAATCGGAAAAATAGATGATCTAAAAATATCATCTAACAACCTGTATATAAGAGACAAGATAAGAATCCTAGTACAACTCTAAAACCTAAGAATAGGAATCCCAGACAAAAAAATGTAGCCATGGGGAACAACGAATTTGACAACTAGCATATTTATATTTGGAGTATATTCAACATCGACAATATCTTTGACATTTTGTATAGCAGGCACTGACAAAGCGGTCACACATGGAGATGTTGCAAATCTGATCTCAAGTTAAAGAGTTCTCGCATCTTTATTATAAGGGAAAGGTTTCTAGGTTTCGCCATACCTAAAAATGAAGTCCACTTTCTTTAACTACGAATTCAGGGTTTTTAGGTTTTGTGTTAGTGATTTTGTTATCATCAATGTTATTTAAGTGTAATGGGATTACTTTGTTAACAAAAAGTGATATTGATAAATATTAAACAAGTAAGGAAGGTGTGGAGTACACACTTGTTTAAATTTGATCAAGTATCAAAGTACACTGTCATTTAGGAGCGAAGCCCCTGAACGAACGGGGGTCCGGGGGCAGTGCCCCTGGGAGCGGGATCCAAGGGGCGGCAGCCCTTGGCGGGGTCCAAGGGGCGGAGCCCGTGGCTGGTTATGTTAATATATAAAAAATGCATTAGAAATCCGGTTTTTTAAATAATTGACCCCATTTTAACTTTTATTCAGTTGACTCGTTTTATGACCGTTTTGGTGGTTTTGTGACAGTTTTAAACTGTCATATGACAGTTTTCAGACAAATATCTAAATTCACTTTTGGTCTCATTTCTGGTGCTCACGAAATCATATCCTCTCATTCTCTTTCTTTCTCTCTGATATAATCTGGGTCTTATCCAATTGAAGATTTGGGAGTACCAACGAAATACTTCGATTAGAAAGTGATTATCATGATTCTCAAATTTCCAAGTGCCACTAAACCATATTTCCAACATTTTGCACATCGAAGAGTCATCAAAGTGATTGATGACATCGTATCTGTTACAATGAGTAGAGAATAATTATCGCCAAGAACTATTAAGTCGGAATCAAGAACGAAAGAAATGTAGGACTTGATGTTTATTTAAAGCATTGTGCGGTGATGAGGTTGATATGTATGCACGAGGAGAGATAGAAAGAAACCACGATGATGAAGAAACTATGAGAGGAGGCAGGGTTTGGTTGTGGCAACGCCATAAAGGAAAGATAAAAGAGAGAAGTGAGAGGAGAGAGGAGAGATTTTAGGATTGTTCTCATATCATGATTATTACATTGATTTACTAATCTGCAAATTACAAATATAAATACAATAGACAAGCCTTAAAGGTCATGGGCCCACTATACAATGTGGGCTAAATGCACAATATCGGCTATATACCAACACATTTGGATGTGTTTTGTTACATGAGATAGAACTAAACCTAAGATAATTGTTAGATCATGGATAATTGATAAATGAGATAATACCGAACACGATAAGATGCTATTGGACTAGACCGGATGAAATATGATATTTATTCCATTGGACTAAACCAGATGAAATATGACATAGTAAAACTATTACTCGATGCAAAGTATCTAATCAATAAAAAAGAAATATACATGCACAAAATCATGATTTAAATTGGTTTATATTTCTTGTCCTACAAAGTCAAAGAACAATGATGCATGACAATTGTTTTTATTTCTACGTTTATCCGATGATGACCTTGTTCAAAACTTTTTTTTCCAAATAGATATCGTCAAAAATCATTTAAACTTGATGATATTTGACTACACATCCATCCAACTTGTACCCAATCGTGGGTACCTTATTGCATCTCGTTTATTAGCGTTTCACATACCAAATCACATCTTACCGATGTGATATGCAAGCAATTAAACCATTGGATCTTTTTTTTGCTCCCCCAACATGAAAACATTTTGCATCATCTAAAATTTAACTAGCTCTTCACACTCCTTTTCCAAAATAGTTGCGGTCTTACCACTCACCAAATTTTTCATAACCAAACCACACGAAATCGATGCAATAACTTCCTTGCGAGCAACATCACCCACATTACCCATATAAAATTTCATCGGCACCATCATTTTCACTACAAATTCCATCCCTACTCCTTTTTCTTTACTATTTTGCACAATATCTTGATAGGTGCTTGACTCATCTGGGCATGATCCTGCCAACGCAACTTCTAGTACTGTCGTGTTGGCAGGACCTTGCTTGTAAGCAGGTAGCTGTCCAGATGATATGATGTCATCATCAAAAAGTAAAGATACATTGTTCTTTTCCCCGTATACGAATCCGATTTTTTTATTTGGATTTTCGATCTTAAAGATGACCACAAACTCCGTTTTGAGAGTTGAATCATCTTCAAGGTCGAGGGTGTTGACAGTGAATGATTGGATGTCGTATAGTGGTGGCATAGGGTCCTCGGTGGAGTAGATGTAATACGCGAAGCCACCGGAGATGATGATTACAAGTAAGAGGAGACAACAACACCAGCACATGCATCGGACAAAACCACTGTAACCTTTTCCCTCGCTAACTACGCCCATGGTGGTGGTGGTGGTGGTTGCGGTGATTATGAATCAAAATGTGAAAAGTTAGATGGAGTTTTGTGCTTTTAGTGATGGGTGGCCGGAAATTTTGATTTTGGTTGGCAGTGGAGTATTGGCTCCATTGTTTTAGGCCCTTTGTGCATGTGTATGGCCATACGTAGGTTTGTAGATCAAGGCCCCTATTTATTTGGTTAGAGGAAAGAACGTGAAGTGTAAGTGCATTTTGCATAATATAATTGTATAAAGAATAAATTAGATGAATGGTCCTATGGTTTAGGGTAATTTACACGTTTGGTCCTTAATTTATTTTTTTAACTCGGAAGGTTGTTGCTGTTTGTTTTTGTTATGTATTTGGTCCCTGTCTTACCTAAAAAAAAACTATTTTACCATTGATTTTTTAATTTATTTAAATAAACACACCCCAACTCCACCCCCTCACCTTACGTTACCTACCCTATCATTTTTTCCTATTTAAATAAGTTTTTTTAAATAAAACAGAGACCAAGCGCGTAATAAAAACAAACAGTAAAGATTAAACCCATAACAAAAATAAACAGTAGGGACTTTACAAATTAAAAAAATAAGTTAAGGACCGAACGCACAAATTACTCTAAACCATAGGAACCGTGTAATTTATTCTCGTATAAAATACACACTAGTATATAAGAACATAATACTTATTTATAATTACATGAAACTCCTTTATTGTAACATTCAATTGAAAGATGTTCCAAGGAATAAAGAAATTCACGATTAAATTAATAATTTCTTCTTATTTTAAATTATATCATCGAAATTTATAAATATTTATGAAAATACCACTATTGGTATTTATCTCTTTGTGATCTATGCCAACAACCTAGAAGATATTATGTTGTATATCTGATTTACATCGCACTCACATTTGACAAAACGCTAGAAAAATAACCATTCGCACACAAATAAAAATAAGATACTATAATACACAGATAAATAAAAATAAAAACACATTGTTATTTCTTGTATTTCACACTACATAAATGCAAAACTATTTTATTAAACCCACACAAACTACACCATCTCTACCAAATACAACATTTTTCAAACTTCATGTGTAGGGAATTTAGCATTCGTCGGATCGGTCATATCAAGGAAGAGATAGGCCATGCCTCCAATTCCTTCAAACAACGAGTATGGATTATCACCTCCATGCATTTCGCCTTCCGATATGAGTTTGTGAGATTTATCAAGTAAAAAACACGCAAACGCCTTCGCCTTGTGTAAAAACTCCACGTTTCCTGTCATTTTATAAAGAGAGAGGAACACGTATGCATTCCCACTTATCCCATGACAAATTGCGACTTTTTTCAGTAATCCACGCTCCCACACGACTTTGGATGCATCGATTGCCGCTTCGAGAAACTCTTTATCATCAAAAACCTAATTATTAAGTTTTAGGGTTAAATGCAAGAAATCGCATCTACTTTTAATTTCTCCTTGTTACAACATTGTAGTTTGGAATTCTATTATTCAATTATTGCAATGTCGACCAAGTAGAAAGCAATTTTCACTACGGCGAGAGTAGATTTATTGAAACTTTAATGTTGTCATAAGAAAAAAAAAGAGTAAATTACACGAATGGTCCCTATATGTTGAAGTAATTTACACGTTTGGTCTCTATTGTTTGTTTTTGTTACACGTTTGGTCTCTATCTTATCTAAAAGGACTATTATGCTCTTATTTAAATAAAATAAAGTAGTCTTTTTAGGTAAGATAAGGTGAGGTGCGGGTGGGGTGAGGTTGGAGGTGTTCATTTAAACAAATTAAAAAATTAAAGGTAAAACAGTCTTTTTAGGCAACATAGGGACCAAACACGCAACAAAAAACAAACAGTAGGAACCTTCAAAGTTAAAAAAAATTAGTTAGGGACCAAACCTACAAATTACCCCAAACCATAGGGACTATTCGTGTGTTTGCTATTTATTGCATTTAGTCCCAAGTTTTTTAGGAGGGCAATGTCACTTATGCTATGTTTGGCGTACTAACTGAAAAGCTAACTGTTAGATGAAAAATTAGCTGTTAAATAAAAAACTAACTGATAGCTGATAAAAAAATAACGTTTGGTAAAACTAACTGAAAAGTTAGCTGAAAAGTATGAAATGACAAAGAAAGACATTTAAAAGAATGTGTTTTTTATAATTAATTAAGGTGTATATTTGGAAAAATTTTAAAAAAACCCCTAAAAAGCTAATCTAAATAGCTTTTTAAAAAGCTAACTTATAAATTACTTTTTAGCTTGCCAAACATGAAAACTTAAAAAAGCTCGAAAAATAATCTAAGCCTTTCAGCTAGTTGTGACACGCCTAACACAACCTTAATAGTAACTAAGTTTTTTTCCACCTCCGTATCATTTTCAAAAATTAACAATTCAACTTTCAATTTTGTTCCTCATAAAATACTTTATCTTTTTGTTCCATTTTAATTAATTTTGAAATTTTAGTACATGTTGCTGGAAAACAATTTTATTAATTAGTAACCATGTTTCATTTTTCAATGTAATAAAGCTGAAACACGGTTTACATTTAATAAAGTCATTTCAACAAGTCTATTACGTTAAAAACAACAAATTTTCATTAAAGGAAAACGATACAAAATGTCACAAAACTCGTAATTATTTAACATTTTAGGGATTACCTCAGCTGCTTTAACTAATGTGAGAGCAACTCCAGATGCACCATGACACCAATACACAAGAAGATCACTTTTCATATCTTCTTGTTTTGGGTAATTTCCACTTGGAAAACGATTCTTAATCATATACTTAAGAGTCTCCTTCACATCCAAAACCACATCCGATTTAAGTTCAAAACGCATTAAGACATTCAAGATCCCAGCTAACCCATGTGCAACTCCCCACTGCCTCTCACCTTTATACTCAAACATCAAAGGGCATTTTCCCTTTGCACCCAGTTTTCTTCCATTCTCAATCATCTTATCGATAACTACACCCTTTTGATTTAATAAATTGTCAGTATTCGAAAATGAAAAAGTTAAAGCAACTGAGAATGGCAAACTTACAGTATGGGAAGATGGAATTGTTTCATGGCCTAAGTTTTTGTTAAGAAAGAGACATGCTGATAAGTATCCAGCTCTACCAAATATTACTTCATCTAGTATATCTTCACTTAACTTCATCTGTCATATTATTATATAAGTGTATATCGTTTGGGAAGAAATTGAAATCAAATAATTTTACCTCTTTAAATTGGGTTAAATAGTAATCAACCATTTGCTCATTGCTTTGGTGCTTTGCGACAACAGCACCGAGTGCACAAACTCCAGCGCGTCCAAGTAAAAAAGAGACAACCCTACAAATTTGGTGTCGTCATATTCAAATTTGGCGAAATATTGTTTGATTAAGGGTCAAGAAGTTGAATTTTGAGTGAGATTTTTGATGCTAGATGTAAGAGAAGTGGACGTAAATGGATCGTAATCATGATACGATAGCGAACCTGGAACTGGAAGAAGAGGAATCGCAAGCTTTGATAATCTCAGAAGCGAGATTGAGATCGCTTTTGTTGTTGGTAACTTGATAGGATTTCAAAAGCAAGAAAGCAGTTCCAAGAGAGCCTGTATATAGGGAAAAGTCTTTGACATCTTGCCCTGTAAAGCCCCATGTCTTCACCACTATCTGTGGGGCATTTTCACAAACACCTGGTGAGCTTACCGGTTTTACTCGCATTGTTCATCAAATGATTCAAAATTAAACGTACATACAAACATAATCAGAGAGAGAGGGAGAGGAATTACAGTTTCTTTGAGATCCAAGGCGGCGCGTTTGAGTTTCTCGGAGAGAGTGGGGTAAGGCAAAGCAAGAAGCTTCAACAAAGAATCTTCTTGCTTATCTTCGTCGATTCCTGGTACTGTTGCTTTCTCCTGAACAAAATCTGACATGAAATTCTTAAAGTATCTGTCTGTCATTTTTTTTGCTGGGATTCTGATGGTTCAGAGAGTCTGAGACGATGCGAGTTTTGAAGGAGATACCATAGCAGCCACGAATGGACCGTTTGACTGAAATCATCAATGACGAGACACGCGTAGACCATTGAAGCTTTAGCTGAGATTGCGGTAAACATGACAGAAGCATCCTCTTTGCCATGGTGTCTCTTTGAAGTTTGAACGGATTTTCCCAAGAAGCATCTTTCTTGTATTTTACTCCTAGGCCCTAAACTTCTAGCTTATATCTATTTCAGCCCCTGTAGAATGTAGTAAGGTTAATCCGGTAAGGTCATCTAGCTCGGCCAACTTGGTTCTTGCCAAGTGGTGGTGGCAAGCGGGTATGACTACTTTTGGTGCTCTTGTATGCATTTTATTCATAATCTCAAACTTATTAATGATATTAATGGGTAAAACTTTGCCAAGAAATCTATAAAACAAGTGGTCAAATATCTCTTAGATAGATATGGAGTTGGATGTTGAAGGTGTAACTTTTCGTTGATCTATTTAAAGAGTGGTGGGTATTTGCGATAGAACATTTTTTTGGAAAGACATTTGATGTTGGAGACGTGACTTCAAAAGATCGTTGTCCAAACTTATATGGAATTGAGACAAACAATGACTATTTGGTAATGAAAATTTTTGTTTATGGAGTTGTTTTGGACTCGCGGTGGTGTTAGAATTAGGCAATACAATTTTATATATATATATATATATATATATATATATATATATATATATATATATATATATATATATATATATATATAGAGAGAGAGAGAGAGAGAGAGAGAGAGGGGCTCATTAATTTTCTGTTTTATAGAATCTATTGGATTTGCAAGTAGGCGGAAGTGGTGGCTCTTTCTCGATGATGTTAGAAATATTATAGCAATTCAAGAGTCAATGTAATTGTGTTTAGTTTGATCAAATGGATCAGTAAATTACTGAAATCGTTCCTACGGTTTGATCAAAATTGCACGTTTGATCTCTTACTTTTTTTGCACTCAGATCGTCCCTATGGTTTGATTTTTTTTGCATTTTTCGTCCCTTACATACATAAAGTTAGGGACCAAACGTGTAAAGTTTGACCAAACCATAGATACGAAAAAAACAATAAAATTAAACCATAGGGACAATCTGTTTGCAAAAAAAAAACAAAAAAAAAGTTAAGGACCAAACGTATAATTTTGACCAAACCATAGGGACGATTTCAGTAATTTACTCCCTTAAATATCAATTGTTTTGTGTGGCGGTGGTTTAATAATAGAATACCAACTTATGCAAACTTACTAAAGAGAGGGATTGTGATGAATTTGCTTTTATGTCCTTTTTATCACTACATGGAGGAAGATATGGATCGTACTTTCTTTGTGGAATTGGTTGTTAGAGTGGTCTTCTATTCTCCTTCGGGAGCCTTTCACTTGTTCGGAGTTGATTGTTATAGTAAATTCGTGCACAGGTGGAGTTAAAATGAAGAAATTGAGACTCTCTCTTGTGTACACAACTTTATGGTTTATATAGAAGGCTTGGGATGACACTGTCTTTCGAGATTAAACGGTAAGCAATCATGAAAATAGTGGATAACATTGATATTTTCATGTTCAGTTAGATTAATGATAGATCAAATCTTAGCAAAAATGACCGGTTTAATTCGTGTATGTTTCCTATTTTATTTTCTAGTAATTGTTTGAGCTCTTTGCTTAGGCCTTTTTTTTTTGCTAAGAATTGTTAGCCATTCAAAAAAATATCTAGTATGGGTACCATGGCCATGGCCGTGGTTTCCTTTCACCTCGGCCTTTATCTCCTTCCACCTCATCATCATTTTTTCTAAACCAACTTTAGTGTACATATCACAAACCACAAACACTTGCAGGAAAAGAGAGTATAGAAGAGAGAATATAAGAAAGATGATTGGTCGTCCTACATTGTGGTGGTAACCACAATTCACAATATCAAAACCACCACGACATACACAGAAAGGTGTGCACGGTTGTGGTGGGTTGTCATTGTTGCCATGGACGTCCCTTGTGAAGGGTATATGGGATAGTCTAAGTCTACGTCCCATCCCACTATATTCTCCCATATTTCTTTTGTTGTATTGTATCCTTGAACATGAGAGTCCACATTTGACGAAAGTCCACAACAAAGTGTTAGATTAGTGTCTAAGTGTTGGGTTTAGGCCATAAGAACATCCTATATGCTTATATAAAACCCTAATGCTTGGATCTAGGTTTCTCTATTATACATGCAATTCATCCAAGACTATAAACCCTAGATCTAGTATACGATAATCAATATAACATATAAATTTGGGTTTAGATCAAACCTTGATTGTTATGTAGCAATAACAATCTCAAATCCTTCTTGTATTGACTTTAGAAAGCTTAGAGTCACAAATGTCACTTCTCTAATGGTTCACAAACACCAAGAGCAAGAGGATGAAGAGGAGAAGAGAAGGAGGCTACCAAAAACGTGTGGAAACCCTAACCAATTAGTTCACCACGTTTTTGGGGCATAAGGGTTCTTTAAATAGTGAGGCTATTAGGGTTATCTAACAAGAAAACCCTAATTTGGATGCTTAAGCCCTAAGCAACCCATGGACTCCTTCCTGAAAGGCCCTAGGACGATTTCTAATGGGTTTCCCCATAGAATTCGTCCACCCCTTTAATATGGAGTCCATTAGCTCAATATTCAACTATCATACAATTGACAGTTCAAGTCCCTTAAGTTTAATTAATCTCTTTTAGCCACAAACTTAATTCTTATTAATTCTTGACTAATATTAATTAAACAATCTGATTTTTCCTTTATTAATAAATCATATATAATCCTTTCTCTCCATAATTCATCCTATCAAGTTGCTTTGGTGAAGGCAACCCAAAAGGACCATGCACCATCGGGTCAAGTACCTACCAAAATAGTTATGGACTTAGACACTAATCCAACAGTCTCCCACTTGGATAAGTCTAATAACTATTATGCATATGACCTCAGATCCTGATCTGCAATCGTAGCTTTCCAAAGCCGCTGTCAACTCTGATCTTATCAGATACGCGTGTCCTTAAGATAAGGGATCATATATTCCTCCATTCTAGATATTATCGTATAGATTGAGACATGGATCTAAATCATTCTCTCTGTCTATGTGTTGTTTCCCGAATTCAGATTTATGACGACTGATAACAGACTACAATTGAACACATCAACTTAGTCCCGGCTTGGCCAAGCGCTTAGGTGTCATCACTAAATCATCGAGGGGCCAACAGATATCGCTTTTATCCTACTTTGGATAAAAGGAACGAATAAACTTTGACTCAATGCTTTCTTTCACTCACTCACCGAATCACACACAACAATATGTTTTATAACACCAAGTTACTGGTGTGTTTACATATTATCAATGTGCAACCGACTCGCAAGATACAACTCACACATCTCGGTTTCAAAAATATAAGATGTTATTGTCTCACCAATCACTCGTGATAAAATCCATGAAGTAATCCAAGTGAGCGTGGGTTTAATCCAATGCTCAAATCAAATTCATAAGCACTCATGAACGTTGCAGCAAACATTTGCTTATGTCTAATTCTCTTTAGACAATCCACACACCAATTCACGAAAGTCTTCATTCATACCTACTTCCAACATATGGACGAATGTGGCCCGTTCGAATAATTTGACTGTTCTTAACCAATTAAATTATTCAGGAAGTCAAAACATGCAAAGTGAAACACAAGAATAATACTGATCCCATATGGCCTCAAATATTTGAGTATAAATAAAACACCTTTTATTTATCACCATATCGATTACTCATTATTTGTTGTTTCAGGTAATCAACTTCTTACTTGAATTACAACACTTTTCCCATGCTCTCAGCATGCACACAATGTTTACCTATGGTTCTTACTTTGTGAAATAGATCAAATGAATACATTTCCAATCATACTCATTCCACAACTCCCACTCCTTATCACAAGTGTAAGAATATCAAATTCTTGCCACTTATAGAATATGCTAGATTCTAACATTTTATGCAATGATCCTTTTGTAATGTCACTGCACTAAGGTCACAATGACTATTGCCAATGAAATTACAAAGATCTTTATCGGAAATTGTTACAAGACAATTCCATAGATATGATGTCTCTCACTCAAAGTACATTCCTTTGAACATCCTTTTACATAAAGTTTCTAATCTAGACATAGATTCTCAATATTTAACTCCTAATATGGAAACCTTTCCATACTTACCATATAACAACTCATTCTTGATAGAATCTTATCTATTCATAATAATGTCGATATACTCCATCTAATATCATACTTCCAACTACTCACAAGCGACCAATCCTCAGCAAGCTTTGGATCGTCCTTTGATAGTTGTTTAATTATCTTAGTCAAAACCGATTCTTGTTCTTTTTCTCTCTAAATGCGCTAGACATTTGGAAAAAATTTAGAATGGTCAAATATTATAACATTTGCAATCGATCATATACCTGAAGCGTATGGGACACGATGCATAATGTCTTACATGAAGATTTAATATTTTATCAATCTTCTGCCATAATATTTTATGTGCTATGTTCTCACATTTCGAACTATGAAGAGGAATGTCGTAATCATAATCAAAATTGAAGAACACACTATGTATCTTTGACTAAAAAATATTAACATTCCACAACCTAAGCCTTTAGATTTGAAATGAAGCATAATATTCTCTCCCTTAATTATAGTAAAACAACTATTCAACCCTTACAACTTTGCAAAATATGACTCTTGTTTTCTATAATTAATATTTCTAACTTGCAACACTTGCCATAATAATCATACAATCATAACATTTATGCTCCCACTATCATGATGATTATTTTAAGCATAATGTTTATGCTCCCACTAGCTTTGGCATGTATTTAGAAACAACTTAACTTTCAGAAAAACAATGCCTATTGAATTTCTTTAAGTTCATATTTCTAATACCCAATTCTTTGATAATCTTTTATCAAGGCTTCTCGAAATTATACACTTTTCCATTAGATAGCTCATATGTGTGTCTAAATAATTAAGACTAATTGCCAAATCTCACAATTCGAATCATGGAAAGGGATACCGTAACCATAATCGAATTCGAGAATACAATTTCACAATCACTGTCTTCTTAAA